AAGTACGATGACTTTTAGCTAAAACACGTACTTCACACTTCAATTCGAAGTCTTTAATACCATTAAACAAACTAGGTAACATATGCTTCGAATAACCAAAAGATGCATGCCGCAAACGATGATGCAATAACCATAAATTCTGTATGTTACCATCACACAATGCATGAACCAAATTAGCTCTTTCAAGAATCACACCATCCACATAATATAGTCCCTCTCTCTTAGTGCCACGCCCAATGATCTCTTTTGTTTGAATATCCTGAAGCAAGCAAAATAAAGGATAAATTAATACAATGCAATCCAATTGTTTAGTGACTTGTGGTACATAGACAATTAATATTAGGACAATTACAGATGCAATAAACAATGGTGTTAGGAAAGACAGGGTGTAAGGCACACGGTTCCCACTCCAACAACATGAGCAGTAGCATCATTGGCAATTGCTACACACTTTCTATGACGACGTGTCATAGATTAATAGTGTGTTTACTAACCCGTAATCGGAATGAGAATAAGAAATTCGATTCCGATTATGAATTATACCTGTGTTTACTAAAATTGGGAGGAATCAAAAGTACGTGGGGCTCACACAAAAAATGGAATCCAATTCCTGAAATTAGAGAATTTGGATTGCCAACATATACAAAGTATTTGGATTCCGGATTGCCCAAGCAATCGGAATGATAATTTTTGTCCCTTTATGCCCTCACTTACTTTCATTATTTCCAAGATTATCTTTTTAACCCTAGACTTATTTTTCTTTTCACCCAGCTCATTTCTACCTTCTCTTAGCCGCATGCCTCTGTCTTCTCTCAATCGCAGCTCTTGTTACAATTACTGATAGGTAAATCCCTACTTCTTCTGCATTTTTATCTCTGTGCTTATAGAGCTTGATGAATATCAGCGTTTCGCTGCTCGTTTCTAGCGCGTTTCTTTCTTCTCCGTGATGGATTTTCTTTCCAGGATTTCGTTCAATTTTTTTCCCGATTTTCTTCTCTTTTTTTTTTTTTTGGTGTGCGACAAACTTGGACTTTGGAGGAGAAAAGCGAAAAAAAAATGAATTGAAATTAATGATAATGTTGTCGGTGCATGTTCTCGGACGGCCTGAGTTGACTTCACTTCACTTCACTTGTTTGAAGAGAGAGATTTTACTTTGAATTTCAATAAAAGTTGGAAACTTTGTCATTGGTTTTTGGATTTGTGAATTGGGTCTGATTTGTTTTGATGTTTTTTGTTTTGTATCTTGTATTGGGGGGAGTGATTGGTTGTTGTGAAAATGTGGGAAAAGAGTGGATTGAAGTAGATTGACATCTGTTGTCCTGTTGCATATTCTACATTTATTAATTTACTTGAATTATTTGGTTGTTGGGAACTTGTTGGGCTGAATGTTGATTTACAATTATTTACTTGCAAAATGGATCTTTTTTTTTTTTTTTTTGTCATGGTTTGGTGCATAAAGAATCACAGATGCAAACTTTTTTTTTATTTGTCGTTTGGATTTGTTTGACCATATGCTTAGATCAGGACAATTGGGATTTGTGTGTTTGATGATCTTCTGAATTTGGTTTATGCAATTTATTTATCCTATTAGATCAGTGATTAGTATATACTATATCAAATTTTATTAAAAAAAGTATATAAAATATTTGATTTGAGACAAGGGTATTTTAGTAATCATATTGGTTTATATTCCGATTCTGCTGAAGTAGTAAACAGCTTTATGGAATTGTATTCCGATTCTAGATAGTTTTAGTAAATAACTTCAACAGGAATCTGATTCTGATTCCATCTCCTTTTAGTTCCTCCTCAATCCAATTCCTCTTCAATTCAATTTCTTTCAATTTGATTACAGATTAATAAACGCGCTATAAAACAAGTGTTTATCATAGTGCATATGATTCGTTGCATCGAATTGTAAAATCCAATATGTATTCGCTATTGTACTAACACCCAAGATAGTAGGGTACGACAACAACAAAGGTTACGGTGATGGGAAAGGGATACAGCCGCAAGAGAGGATGCACATGCCTTGTTCCATAAGTAAACGAATCACAAAAGATTAGAATTAATTATACAACGTAATTCTACAGAATATAGGATTACCAAAATATTTACAATAAAAACTAACGTCAACAAAAACCCTCACACCCCAGCACATTTTGAGATGCCAAAAGTGGATCAGATTTGGTGCCTAATGGTTTAGCAAAACCATGTGTAGTTTAGACGTGGAGTATCCGTACTCCATTGGCTGTGCCAACTGCGTGCAAAGCTATGTTTTGCCCAGCCACTTTTTTTTTTTTTTCTCAAGCACCTACTGTTCCCTTCCGCCTAACAAGAAACCCAAAACCAAAGCGCCCTTTTTCGTCGGCCCTAACTTTGGGTGGGGTCGACCGCAACCCCTTCAATCTGCCTTTTGAGCTCGTCTTAGTTTTCTGAGTGTTTGTCCCAATTGTTCTGTGAGTGTCTCGATTTGAGTGGTATGACCATTTTTGTGGTTTTTTTTTCTTGTATATGTTCTTCCTCCACTTGTTTCTTTCATCCTTGCCACACCCACTCCATCTCCTTGTTCTCTGAACCCACCACGTGTTTTCCCTCTTTCCCTTCTTTAACCCGTTAGATATCATGCCCTAGATTTTTCAGTTTATTATTCGTCTTTGCCTTGGCATGATGTTTGTGCACATCCCACCCTTATATGTGGACTTCATATCTACGCTGGTCGTTTAGGTGGATTGAAGGTCATTTTGACCCTTTTTCTGATCAATTGAGAATAACGTAGATTGGCTCGAGTACGAAACTCTCAACACATCTCTACAGATTTCTTGTTGATGCTTGTTATTGGCCTCTGCCTTGGTTGTTGATGGCGACGGCAGCAGTTTGGTATAGGAGTAAGGGTTTGTTCTTTTGTTTTGGGCCTACATCCTTGGATTGGACCCTTTATTTTGTTACTTGTCGGTTCATATTTTATATTTGTGCTTAACCTTGTATTTGGAGTTTTTATGTGCCTTATTTCTGATAATGAATTATGAATTATCGTTTTCCATAAAAATAAAATAAAATAAAAAGCTATGTGTTGATCCCTTGTGTTTGCACTATCCATCACCTGTATTGAGCCACATGTTAACCATCTGTGCCCTCTCCCACGAGTGCTTAAGTACAATCATCTCCAACAAACAGGTTAGACTCACTTCCACTGGAGTTACTCGCCCTTTCTCTCACCTCTCCCATTCCTCTTGTAAGAGTCTCCTAAATATAAGAGATTTTCATGTAAGTAATTTACATGTCAGATGATTAAATACAACCCGAAATTGATGTAGCCCATCTAAGGTTAACCACTCAAATCTCTTCGCCTTGTGCTGCCTGCTAAAGCTCACCTCAGCTCGGTCTACTACCATTCTTTTCTTTAACTTTGACCCAAGGTTCTGTGTTAACCTCACCAAAACACCCGTCTAGAAACATTATCTACATGACTGAAGGAACAAATTGAAAATCCTTTTGTAAATTGAGAAACAAAAAACTACTTTGGGGGCTTTCCAATAATGGGTAATATTTCGTTCCCTTTTTACCCATTGAAAGTAAGCCATTTGCAGTGTCTTTTTCATCAATAAGATATACGAAGTTCCAACATCCAAGCAAGTAGTTTCCAAAAAAAACAAAGTAAGAAAGATGTGGTGATTGACGCCTGGATGCATGCAATCTTCTTAAGAAGAATTTCACACCTACTATTCTGCTTGTAGCTCTATAGGCATCCATCTCTCATGACACAACAATCAATATCAAGCACACAGTGTGTCAAAACATTCTACATGTGTACTCTCACGACACTTGAAAGAACTGTGGCAATTAACAAGACGAGCTTTGTGGATAAACTCAATAATTTGTTAGGGGAGTGAATTCTTTGTTCTATATAGGCTTCAAGCCACCCCTTTAAACCAATGTATCTTTTGCGTGAAGTTTTTATGTAAGGATGCAACTCATGCATCATGATATCAGATGCGTCCTCGGCAAACCACACAACTTTTCATTGATAGCATGTCATTGGTCATAAAATACATTGACATGATTTGAACAATCCAACTTCTTAAAACTCAATTGACTTAACCGACATTTTTCATTCAAATATATATTACCTTATGAAACAAATATAAATATAAAATTTTAACACGAATGCTTTGTGCTGCATCCCTTTTAACGAATGTGAAAGAAGATTTCTCATTCGACAATCTTGTGTAGCAAGAGTTGAACATGATACATCAATGAAGTATATCCATGGTTAAGTGGATATTCTGTAATACCCAAGTAATTGCGTGTTAAGATATATATGCTATATAATGGATAGTTCATTAACACTAGTTTGCAGGGGAGTTAAGCAAATGTGATGTCCGTACCTAATGAAATATTTTCTGAACAGGTGTAGGGTTTTAACATTGTTCAACGTTTATAAGAGTTGATGTCAGACGTTCAACGTTTACTTAGAATAGGGGAGTTAGAACTCTGTAAGACTGCAAGGTTGTTTTGGTCGTTTAGCAATGGTGATTCTTTAGTCTTTTCTTAACAATTTGCGAGCATAAAAACATATTTTTAAAACTTTGGCCATTTTTATAATTTAATTATTTTGTATATGTATAGAATATGTGAATTTTATGTGTATTATTAAAAATATGTGCAAGTAATGCATATTAAATGTGTAAAGTATGTTATACGTGAGGTGTTTCAAGAAATTCGTGAGACTTGTGATTAGGAGAAGACTGAAATGTCTTTGTGAATCTTCTCGGTCCACGAAAAAAATGAATAATCGTAGCTTGTCATCAATTATTCTCATTAAAAAAAAAAAAAGACTAATTATGATGTGTACATAAAACAAAAATATTTTACAACATACATATATATAATACACGTATTAAGCGCATTTTGCTAACTATAAGCATTGACAAAATCAATCTAGTCAAAGCCACCCAAAAAGTGGCCATGACAAATATAATAACTAAAGCATATTTGCAATGATGTCCGAGTTGATGTGAGAGGAACTTTTGGACTTTTTAGGCCAACTTTTGTGAGAATTATCGGAATCTTTGAATTGTATTTGTTTATAGTAAATCATGCGATTAGTTTTCGTCATGTATTGTTTATGTTTAATTTTAAATAAAAATATTTAAAATAATTTTTGACCGCATAATATACGATGAATAGACATAATTTGATAATCCTCAAGATCCTTACAAAGAAAATTAAAAAAAAATCCTCACAAAGAGAATTCGGAGAGAATTATCAGTTAACTTGATAGTTCCCAATGTTGGTTTTGCCTTCTTGATGATCTCATAATATTCCGACGTGACATCTTGATCTGGGTAACCAGACCAAACAATAAGGCATCCACAAAGCTTTGCCCTAATGTTTTCCGCCTTTTGGCTGGTTGGTTTGCAACAGACTAGAACCTAATACCTCGACAGTGATAGTAGTTGTTGTGGCTGGTTAATCTGGATGTATTAATTGGTATTTCTGAATTTTGTTCTCTGATTGGTAAATTAGATCTGCATTTCACTGTGGATGATTTTTTTTGGGGGGGATTTTATTTTAGAAGTTATTCTGTTTGCATGTATGTTTAAAGGTGGTTGATTTCAGTCTCAGTTTTTAAAGTTACATTTAAAAAGAAATTAAACCAGAAAAGAATAGAGTAAATGACAATCTCGTACAAAACGAAATACAGCATGCAAGTACTAATTTATTGGGCTCATTGCAAAAGTATTCGCAAACCAGAAGTATGGAAATTGGGTTACATTGCCCTTCTATTTTATTTTTATTTTATTTTTTTTATCTATGCTTAGTCACATGTATTAATTTAACTTTCTGCGTCTTTTTTTTTGTTGGATTAAATTTTCTGTCTAAAAATTTATAAATAATAATGAAAATGCTAATTATATTTATCCTTTTATGTTGTGAAGTACCAAGGATGTGATTGCAAGGTACAACTCACATACTGGTAGGGAAAACTCGGATCAACCCGTGCAGGTAATTAAGTTCAATATTGGTTTTCTTTTTCCCATCCGTTGCTCTTTAATTTCCATTTTAATGGTATGACAAGTAATTGTGTCAAGTGAATGTAACATATTCTGTGATCTGCACTAGGAGCTTCAGAATGTATTTTTACACCATCTTAAAGGTTTAATTACTTTAACATTAATAAAAATAAATAGATGTTAAGACTTCTAATATATGCATGCAGCAGGGTTGGCCTCTGGGGCTTAATATATGCAAGTGCTTGGGGTTGAGTAATGACTCCAAGTTATAATTTTAACTTTTATTGAACGTTCTACGCTGTATTATTAGTTGGTATTAATTAGAATCATTGAGGTTTCTCTCGGAAAGAAGTTTCATATTTCGGCTGAAGAATCAATCATCCCAAAATATGTTTGTTTAATAGTGACCTGGAGATTGCTACATGTTGTAAATCCATGCATGCTCTAGTATGTTTCAGTAATCCATCTTTTGCCCTTGTTTCGCTCTTTCCTCCACTTTGAAGAAAATATATGAAGGAAATATCCAATTTTTTTCCTTTCGGTTTTGTTCTAAGTTTTTGTTTCTTTCTTATTTATTTTTGGTCTGATGTTTATAAGCTTTTACATGTGACAAATTAGATTTATCTAAATGACAGTTCGGTATAAATATGTTTCTCATTTAATTAGTTGGAGAAAAAAAAACAAGATCAGGCTGAGTAAGGAACTCAAGGATAAGAGCCGCAAGCTGAGGTAATTATAATTTAATGATTTGCTAGTAAGATATATGGTGGTTATTTAAGCTGATATGATCGTTTACGACAGTGCTGAAATTGGTTTGGCATTCAACAGGCAGATGAAGGGCGAGGACCTTGAAGACTTGGATCTCGATGAACTGCAGAAGTTAGAAAAATTGGTGAAAGTAAGCCTTGGCCGTGTGATTCAAGCCAAGGTCTGTGCTAGCTAGCTAGCTAATTTATTCTGTTACAAGTGAATACAGGTGCCCATGGCTTCTAAAAACTAGGTACCCCTCAGATAGAAGAGCACATTGTGAGGCTTAATGTGTATTATTTTGCAATTGGGAAGATCTATTGTTTAATTAGTCTGCGTTCAAATATCGTTCTACAATGAATTTAAGACAGGTCTTAATTCGGTTTAAATAGAAAATTTATTATTAGCACTCCATAAAAGTAACACCGCACTTCCTCTAATTTTTTTTTTTTTTTCCACTATGCATGAGTGAACTACCGGCCTGGCTTAATCAAATAAATAGATTGACACATTGTGCTCGTAGACACCGTACTTAACACCATGTTTAATCAAAAGGTCAAGAAGTTACCAATTTGGCTATTCTTTTGGATTACATGTCTATACAGCAACATCTAATTTTTTCCATTCATTTCAGAAAAACAAGATTATGAGTGAGATTATGGCACTTGAGAAAAATGTTTGTAGTTAAATAGATGATTGTTGTCTGTGTCTATATATGAAATAACCACAAATATAAACAATAGTCAAGAATTTCCAAAACAGAAAATAATAAACATTAAATTTAATTATCATTAATGAATTTTTGATTTATTGTCCTCTTCCTTGCACTGACTATACATGCAGGGAGCTGAGCTGATAGATGCTAATAACGAGCAAAGGCAGAGGGTAAGCAACTACCACCATCAACGAGTATATTTCTTCTATTTTTTTTTTAATTTAATGCAAAACAAATAACTCTAAATTAGTAAGTCACATCTCGGGTTTTTTTTTTTTTAATTTTTATTATTATTTTTTTTATCGTATCTCTTGTTTTTTTATCTTTGTTGTGTTTGCATATGGCAGATGGTGATGTTATCCGGAGGACATATCGGACCTGCGGCCATCATGGAGTTGGAAAACCTGAATAATATTGGAGAAGAAGGCGTGACATCTGAATCAGCCACAAATGCCACCACCTGCTCCACAAATGCTCTTTCTCTTGAAGATGACTGCTCCGACATCTTGTCTCTCAAACTGGGGTAAGGCGCTTTAACTTGCTAGTAGGGGTGGGCACGGTGCGGTTCGGTGCGGTTCCACCCCTAAACTGAAACCGGAACCGAAATATATTAACGGTTCGATTCGGTGCGGTTCCACTTAAATTTATTACTAGAACCTTACGGTTCGGTCTACACCGGTTCCGATCCGGTTCTTGCCGGTTTACGGTTCCTAATAATAAATTATTTGAACCACATCTAGTTTGATCCACATTAATATCCAAGCAGAAATTAGTCTATATCCCAAAAATCACAACCGTCATATTACAGCTACCGAGTTATCTGCGTGATAGCTAATAGCTATCGAGTTCCACAGCAGAAATTAGTCTATATCCAAGCAGAAATTAGCTCAAACACTGACTGATACCAGCAAACAGAGTCACAGCTCCAGTTTTGAACTAACCCTGCATGTTATCTGCGTGATAGCTATCGAGTTCCTTGTCGAGTTCATCAACCGACTTCTCCACAGGCTTCTTCCTCCCTTCTCCACCACGACCACGCCCGCGTCCACGACCACTGCCGTTGCCACTCCCACGTGGTTTGCCACGACCATTTCTGTTCCCTCCACGACTGCTCCTACTACAAAATCCAAAATCATTGTAACTGTAATCACTAATCACGGCTTGAAATAGCAGTCAGGGGATAATTGAAAAAAGTCTGGTTAAAATGGGATTTCAAAGTAGACTTCAAACAACTCATAAATGATCGGAATAGTTTGTACAATGAAATTTCTGTACTGTCTGATCAGGGAAAGATGCATTCTGATAATATGACAAATAAGTAGAAATGCAGTTTGACAAAACTATAATTAGGTCACTGATAAACAACTAAATCAGTTCATAGTACCTAAAATATGTCTACTGAGTTCATCCAAACAGAGAAACAAGAATTCGACCATCTAAACTCAATTGATCATACAGATTTGCTCTTATGTGGTTAAGTGACATACATTTCTAAGCTAAGGCAGGCTACTGCAGTCATTATTGAGTTGCAACTTTCAACTCATAAGTTTCCCAAAGTTAATTAACAAAACAGCAATTGAGCACGCCATCAACAGCCCCAAAAAAATGCAACATTTGAAGCGAGAAGAACAGCAGAGCAGCATATCCAACAATAGTTAAACCAGTATAGTTTACGAAAGATAGAATCAGAGTAGAAACAGAGATTGCAACTTGCTGCCACACACAAAAGGGAAAGATTAAGGAGAAAAGGTGATAAGAAAGTTACATACATACCATCACTAGTAAAAGGTGATAAGTTAGGATTGAATAGTTTATGAATCCGCAATGCTATTGCTAGATGTGCCACCATTCCTTTTTTCTACAACATATAAAAATTAAGAACTCATTAGCAAATAAGAAAGTAAGCATGCAATAAAACAAGAGAAAAAACAAAAACAAAGTAATGAAAAATAAATATTCATACCTGTTTCAAGTGCTTCATAAAACTCTATATCTTCCAAGATTGTCGCATCGTCTAAAATTGAGATGTTATCTGACATCAACCAATTTTGAGTACAAATTAACCTCTCTACCATTAGAGGAGTCAATGAAGAACGATATGAGTTCACAATCCTTCCTCCCGTGCTAAAGGCAGATTCTGAAGCTACCGTTGAGACCGGAATTGCAAGAACTTCCTTTGCAATTAGTGCCAACACTGGGTATTTAACACCATTCAATTTCCACCAATTTAAAATATCAAAATCTTGACCTACTTCCACTTTTTCATTGCGATCTAACAAGTACCTATCAAACTCATGGTTTGAGAGCACGGCATTACTTGCTTCAACTTCTTTTATCCAACTTTCATCCATTTCAGCTCGTTTTTTCCCCCTTCCATGTTGAGTTGGATTAGCCCCACCAATAGTAGCTATAGTACTAGTAGTATTAGAACAACTACTAGCACTAGAACCACTTGGTTGGTTGGAAGAAGGAACATATTCATCATATAGTTTGAAGATTAGGCTTTTTATCTCATCCTTTTTAGCCATGGCTTCATCAATACTACACCCACGACGCTTCAAAATATGTGGCACATAACCCAGTTTATATCTTGGATCAAGCACAAGTCCGACAAATAGAAAAGGATTCACTTTAACAAGATCACCCCAATACTTATCAAATTTTACCTTCATGCTTCGTGCCATTTCATGCAATATCAAGCTTGTGTAGGTTTGAGTCAATAACATATCTTCTTCAATGAACAAATCAACTATCTCTTCATCAATTGCAAGCAAATCAGAAAAAGTACTATGACAAGCCGGATGCAAAGTAACACTCATCTTCAATGTCATTTGATAGAACACTTTCAAAAAATTGACAAAAATAGCAGCATTACTCCAATCTTCCATATTTGGTGGCCCATACCTCTTTTTACCATTGGAAGGTTCACCCACCCGTTCTTCTTCTTCCGGCAAATCTTCACCAAACCATGACAAGTATGCAATCTCATCATCTCCCATTCTCACAAAAGCTTTTTCAAATTTCAAAGCATTCGTTAACATCAAATAGGTGGAATTCCACCTAGTTGGCACATCTAAAAAAACAAGACCCTTGCATTCAATTTTTTCCTTCTTAACACAACTCCTAAAAGCTTCCACCCTTTGTGGAGAAGATGTTACATACACCAACGCATTCCTAATAGCTAAGATGGATTTATCTAACGTCCTCAAACCATCTTGAACTATTAAGTTAACAATATGAGCACAACACCTAACATGCATGTGCTTTCCATTGAGTATCATTCGTGAATTTTGCCAATGACACATCTTTGTCTTCAAATACTCTACTGCCACCTTGTTTGAAGAAGCGTTATCGACCGTGATGGTTAGAACATTCTCCAAACCCCATTCTAGCAAACAAACCTCAAGAAGTTTTCCAATGGAGTTCCCTTTGTGATTAGCTATGACACAAAAGTTTAGTATTCTTTTGTGCAACTTCCAATTACTATCTATGAAATGTGCCGTTATTACCATGTAGTTTACCTTTTGAATACTTGTCCAGGTGTCGGTTGTGAGGCTAACTCTATGTAAGGCTAACTCTGTTTTCAATTTTGCTTTCATTTCATCAAACATGAGGACAAAGTGTCTCGCAAGTGTCCTACGAGATGGTGGATAAAAATGAGGGCAAACAACACTATAGAAAAACCTAAACCCTCTCCCTTCAACATGTGTAAACGGCAACTCATCTAAAACAACCATTTGTACCAACGCCTTTATGCAATCCTCTTTCGTATTCCCCCTAGCCATAAGAGTACCAACACCATTATCAAAAGACAAAGTCTTTTGCCTTTTATCTAGATTTTTTCCTGGGTAACTTTTACATCTTCCTCCCTCAATATGTTTTCTAATGGTTGAAGTACCATTTCCAGAAGGGTTAGCTGCAAAGGTAGTAGAACAGTACTTACACCTAGCTCTCCTTCTAATTATTGTCTCTTTGGTCCCATCCGGCTTCACAATGTTATCTATGTCATCGTATTCCACAAAATGCTCCCACACTGTTGACCTACGCCTACTATAGCCAAGAGGAGGCAATGGAGGAATAGCATTCAGTTCAGTTGGTGATTGTGCTTGAGTTGGTGGTTGTGGTGGAGTTAGTGGTTGGGATTGGGTTTCAGTTGGTGGTGATGGTGTTGGACCCGGTAATGACGAAGGCGATGATGAAGAAACAGATGCAACAGAAGAACAAAAACCATGTGATGTTGATTGGTTCGTCATCCCTAAAATAGACAAAAATAAAAATGCTACTGTTAAACTTAAACTTAAGCAATGCAGATGCTACTGTTGGACTTGGAAATTGTTTCGATGCTAAAATAGACCTTTTTGTATCACCCTTATAATACAGGGGGAAATATTGTGGACTAATTGGAACAATATAAAAGGCTTGCCCTCCTATCAAAAATACATTACTACAAACTTTGAATCAGCAGCAAAGAAGGCTTCATGTTAAATAAGTAAAACACTGAATCAGCAGCAGAGAAGGCTTCCTATCAAAAATACTTACTACTAAATAAGTAAAACACTAGCCTTAAATCTTCTCACAGTACAAACTACTATAGTAAGAACAGAAAAAAGAACCATCTGGGATGATCATAGACATGTGAAGGAGAGGGAAAAGCAAAGGTAAGACAGACAGGGTACTATGATCACAATAATGGTGATTCCAGAAAATGGTACTAAAAATTAAAACACTGTTGCAATTAAATGCCTCTTCGCAAAAATCATAAATTGAAGTGTCAGGCATTGTAATTAAGTTCATCTAAATATTAAATCCAAACATGAATCTCAACACAGGTTTCTTCACAAAAGTTTTGGAGTTGAAACGTGAGACGATGACAGCAAGGAAGAACCCTGCACCAACTTCACTCTTTTACTGAGTACACTTAGGAACACTCACCATTTCATGAGAAAATAAATTAACAACAGTTTAAATGCCTCTGCCCCTACGCAACAACAGTTTAATATTGAGAGGACAAATTTCATGAGAATATTAACTTGCATAAATGTTTGATAAGTTTTCTTACAACAAAACAATTCGAAAAACCCAGAAAAATTACCTTTAGCTTTGCTGATTGCGCTGCTGTGGAACCTGAAATTCGAACAACAATGTTTGTGGAACCTGAAATTCAAGTTAATCAAGAATTCAATTTAATGAGCTATTCCAAAACCCAAAATTCAAAAATTGAAACTTTGAACAATGGCTGAAAGTTGAAACAATAACAAAAAAAGGGAGTACCCGAGGGCGAGGAGAGAGGTCGAAGCGTGAAGCCGTGAAGACTGTGAAGCGGTGAAGGCGTGAAGGTGTGAAGGTGTCTCTGTGTGAGCGGCGTGCGTGCAGCGTGAAGCCGTGAAGGGCCTGAAGGCGTGAAGGAGGTGTCTCCGTGTGTGTGTGTAAGTGAAAATGAACCTAATTGGGATAGGATCCTCTGTTTTGCAATTTAGTGAAACCAATTTTTTCAACTTATTATACCATGACATGTGTGTGTATATAAAATTTATTTATT